AGATCACTGGATGATGGCCTCCTCTATCTGAGATCACTGGATGATGGCCTCATATGTCTGAGATCACTTTTAGCACGCATTGTTTTAAACTGACAAACATAATTAGTTTTACGCATGAGGCTTTAAATTACAATGTATACCAAAGTTAAAATCTTTAACAGAACTGAGATTTGAGATATTCTTAAGAAAATGAACCAATCGCAACTTCATATGTTTTTTTCTTTTTCTTTTTGTATGAGTGGTAGGTGAATTAGTGAGTGTTATTCGTGTGTGACGTTTCCCTGCACTAATCAGCTTAGACGGCATTTACTAATTAAAAGTATTTTTAACGCTAAGTTTTTGGATAACATCCTTCCGTCTTCGCGAGACGATGAAGTAGCGACGTACACTTTAAAGAAATGGCTTGTTGGGCCGATCCTGGAATGCCAGTCTCGTCTGCATTTCTCGCTTAGAATTTTGAATCCTGGATAGGTTTGGGTTTCCGTGTTGTTCTGTTTGTTGCAAGAGCTGCGTTTTGCGCATCTTCTTATTTACCAACCTTGCTTTACCAAAAAAAAAAAAAAAAAAAAAAAAAAAACTCTGCTCTTCTCCACGTGAAGTGACTTCACCAGCACAGCTATTTAGCCTGGGCGGTGTTTTATGGAGACCAGCTGTTGCCCTCTGCAGTAGATCCCCACTCTCCACACAGATCCCAGGGAATGACAATTGTCAATACCGTTGGCACTGACTACGTCGCAGGAGTTGCAGAATGGACATTGGTATCGGCGTCAGCTCGACTTCGAGACTCCATCTCAGGATATTATAGTTGGGTAGTAACCCGTAGTGTTACCCTAACTTCCCGCATTAATTTTTATAAATTTGCTAGTCGGCCATCATGTTTCTAACCGGAAGTGTTACGATTTTATTATATTATAAGTTTGATATAAAATGTTTGGAATTAAAAAAACAAAAAAACAACGTATTAAATGTTAAAAATAAAAAGATTACATTAAATTAAAGTAGCACTTTAAAAATCAAAACAATAATAATTATTAATTTAATTTAAAAAACGGGAAAAGTCATTATCAGTTTTGTCACCTACGGTTATTAAATTTAAATATGTAAGCTTTTGATTGCCGAGTTTAAATTTAGTTCTTTTAAAATGAATCTTTTTTTTTTTCCTTTTTAGACTACAATAAAACATGTATTTCTCATTGTTTAAAAAATTTGAATTTTATAAAAAAAATTAATTTAAAAAAAACAAACAAACCAAACAAACCAATTTTGTGTTGCTTTTCCCGATAAATGGGATTTTGAATTTTTAGTGATACATAGACGATATTTTATAGAACAAAAAATATCTTAACTTTCAAATTAGGATAAAATACTTAAAATTGCAATTTAATTATTAATTTGAATAGTGCTTCAAATGTATAATAAAATAGGTCAGCAAATACTTAAATATAAGAATATGAACATTATTTCTATCATATTTAAATTTATTGGATTTCCGTGAATAATACAAAATGCCTATTCCATTTTTAAGATTCCGGACGCATTTAAATTGATTGGGTTTTTTTTTTAGGGGGGGGGGGG